AGGTAAGAGGAAATGTGATGTGTGCAAAAGCATGTGTACTAGGCTAGCTCTGCCTGCCTGCTCCTTTCATGGAGTGAGAGTGGCCGATGCCTCAGTGGGAAGCATCAGCCTCCTTTTAATGCAGGTTACCTGGGAGATGCCAGCTGACCCACTCACCACCCGGAACTTCATTCTCTGCCCTGTGACGTGACAAAAGGAGAGGTTACGATCTCCTACGTATCGAGTGTGAACTAGGCTCTTTGGCTTGAACCAGACTCTGAAGTGTGTGGGGACAGAGTGAGAATGATGACACTGGAGGAAAAGGTACTGTCTGAGTGCTCCTGGAGCTGCTGTCACCTCATTCAAAAAGTGCCAACTCAGCCTCACCCATGGATATAAGAGACTCGTAGTTGCCCTTCATGATATTCTTGTAAAGTTCCTTTTGCCATTCTTCTAATTTTTCCCACTCCGGAGTGGAAAAGTAGATAGAGACATCATCAAATGCCATAGGCACCTAAAATTATAATCACATGGGTTAGTTTCTCCCAGTGCAATTCAGTCATTCAATAAATCTTCCCCCCCAATTAGTTGCTTTTATTTTTTCTTTACATTATCAAAGGGTTGTCAATGAATATTTTAGATAGTTCTGAAAATGTTTAATACTCCGCTTGTCATTAGTACAATGCTAAAATTCCAGACATTCAATCATGCAATACAGCACATAGCTGGCACTGTTTTTTTTTTTTTTTTCAACTCTAGGCCTACACCTTGAGTCATTCCACTAGCCCTTTTTTGGGTAGTGTTTTTTGAGATAGGGTCTCACCAACTATTTCCCCAGGCTGGGCTTCAAACTGTGATCCTCCTAATCTATGCCTCCTGAGTAGCTAGAATTGCAAGTGTGAGCCACTGATGCTCACACAAAAAAAGTGCTTGCTGGCACCTTTTTTTGAGGCATGTTCAAGTGTTTTGCAAACAGTAAGAAAGGATCTCAGTGCTACACATGTTAAAACTTCCAGCTTCATTGACTCTCATTTCCTTATTTTGATCTGCCCTTATCCAAGAATATCATTCTGCAGAAGATTAGCTCTAGTTCTGTGTTGTTTCTAGTTCTTCTAGTCTTTTGCCAAATAGAGCTCCTCTTGATGCATAAGGAGGAAAGGAACGTTCCATGCCTCATGACCGAGAGCTAACAGAACTGACATCGGAAGCACGTATGGAACCAAAATTAAACTTCAAAATTCATTATGCCTTTTCTGTATATCTTTAAGTCTTTTTCTAAGCCTTGATTTTTTTTTTTTTGTGATGGGTATTTTCAAGATAGGGGCTCACAAACTATTTGCTCAGGCTGGCTTCAAACAGTGAGCCTCCTGATCTCTGCCTCCTGAGTAGCTAGGATCACCGGCGCACAGCTCTTGAATATTTTTTTGTGTTGTTGTTTTTTAACAAACATTTTCCTCCAAATTTACTGATTTTTGGTAATGATGTAAAAAGTCTTCATTTTCCTTTTCCTGAATGTTGAGGTTCAAAATGTCAGATCTTAATTATGAACTAATCTTCATCTCTTCAATGTCTTATATGTCGATTTAGTTTATATGAACCAAATGCATGTATGTATAATAAAAAAATTAAAATATGTATTCTCCCACCTGGATGTATACAAGCTTTTTATCCTTTCTTACCACTTGACAATACAGCTTATTCCTTGGTCAATGTACTTGCAGCAAAGCAAGGTGGTTTTTGAAGAAATCTTACTTTGTGGGTAAAAGAATCAATTTTATCATTTACTTCTCATGAAAGGATTCCCATTAGTTTTTTGTATTCTGATCCACTAGAGATGGTAAAGCTTTGATATCACCACCAGCCCTAAGGACCACAGAAATTCTCACTAATTATATCCCATTTTCCCTTTTAAAGAGCTTTCAGAAGGGACTGTGAAAAGCCTCTTCTCATATTGGCTAGTTTTTTTGTATTGGTTTGGGTTTTTTGAGACAGGTCTTGCTATACAGCCCAGGCTGGCCTCAAACTTGAGATCCTCCTGCCTTAGTCTCCCAGGTGCTGGAATTACAGGCAAGAACCACCAAGACTAGCTTGCCTGGGATTTTAATTGCTGAAAGATGTCTGTTTACATTCTTTCTCTTCCTTTGGACAGATCTTGTGATGTCTTCTAAAGGCATCTTCCTCTTACTGTTTGTCAATTTGGGACCTTTTTTGGGGGCGGGTTCGGGGGGCAAAGTTCCAGGGTGTGCCTTATATATTCTTCAAATGGAACATTTTGCCTTTTAACATCTGACTTTGTTTCCTTCTTTTCCATGAGCCTCCAAGATTTCTGCTTTCTTCTGCGATCTCTTCCATTTGTGTTTGTGATGTGATTTTCTCTCTTTCTAGGCCATTGCAGTTCAGTCATTTCTCTTTAGCTTGATGACATATTTCTTCTCTGTGATACATTCATGAAAACTATGCTTTTCTTTCAACAATTATGTCTGTTCCTCTTCCAATGTCTTTTCACCTGCTAGTTATACTTTCAGCTTGGCTTCTTAAATTTTGGTATTCCTGTTTCAACCTTTCCACTGTTTCCTTAAATTTTTGGTTTAAATTCAGCAATCATTCTCTGACTCTGCAAATGAGGTCACTTGGTCTGAGAACTACTGATCTGCTGTTTCAGGTCAGAATTTTCATTTCTCTGAGTTTTCAGTGTTCACAATTTGCTGACATTTAACCTAATACCCTTAAGTTCCCTTATGGCCAACTCCTGCCATCTGTGAAGCTCACAGTTTCTCTTCACACTGACTCTTTTCAGATTGCCTCCAGACATCATTTTCACTGAATACACTAACCTCAAACTCTAGCTGTACATTTTGCAATACCACAAACACTTGACAGCCTACTTCCTTGCCAGCATATACTTTTACATACTAATTCATGATCTTTTCTTTTTTTTTAAGAGATGTGGTCTTGCTATGTTGCCCAGGCTAGACTCGCACTCCTGGGTTCAAGCAATCCTCCTGCCTTGGCCTCCCAAGTAGCTGGGACTACAGGCGCATACCACCACCCTTGGCTCCATCTCTACTAAGGGTACTATGTGGTATTCAACAGCTGATTTGAGAATTAATTGACTATCCAGTTCATCTTGAATTTTATTCTTTTCTCTTTCTAGCTCATTCCTAGATCTTGCTGCCACCAGTTTTATCTGTTAAATATAGTTTAAACTTTTCAGTTCTTCACTGACCAATATATTTATTTCTTGCTCATTTTTATGCAATTTACTAATTTAAAGGATATTTTATTGTTGCTTGATTGCGGTTTGTTTGTTTTGTATGCTGGGGATCAAACTCAGGGCCTCATACATACTACAAAAGCATTCTACCACTAATCTATATCCCCAGCCTGACTGTGGCTTTTTTTCCCAAGCAGTTAGCCCAGGGTAGAGCTGACTTATTCAGCCTCTGAAGATCTGACAGTAGCCTGTATCTCAGACA